TATATCCTAACAACAAGTTATAAACAGACAGAGAAAGAGAGGGGAGAAATTGTTTAATCTTACCCTCAATATTAGGATCATTTAAAAAGTCAATGAGTTTTGGTTGACATTCAGTGACAGGAATTTTATTATCAATTTTGTGATCGCATTCAACATCACTGTTAGTTTGCAACTGCATTGCATTCGTGTTAGTCTCGTAGCTATTCATTGAATACCATTAGATCTTAATTCACAATAAATGCAATCATATTAATGGAAATTGAAAATTTAAATTTTAGGGAAATCTTCAATGTTTTAAGTTTTATAACAAAAGATGAATACATTAAAAACAATTTATCAAATAATTAACTCTTTGACAGTGAGCTGAGTCTGAGTAACAAAAACAAGAATATTCTGCAAACAATATTCCACACTATTTGGCACTGAATTCAAAAAATTTGTTTTCTTTATGGTAAAAAAACTGAATTAAATTATTATTTAATGGTTTTTTAAATATTAAAAATTTATAAACTAATGATAAGCTCGTGATATATTAAGTTACAATCACTTTTCATATTCACAGTAACTGAAAATTGTTTGCACCAATAGTAGAACATAACTTTAACTCGTGTAAAAATAGCTTAACTTAACAATGTTTAGTTTAATAGACAATTAAATACAATAATATAAGAATTGTTATAAAACGTTACAAAAAATAATAAAACAAAATATAACATTAGTTTTCAAAAGACTAAACATAATTAAAGTCTTATATAATGTTCAAAAAATGTTGACTCGAATAGAGTTTAGTCTGAAATGAAAGACTCTTTTGAAATGATGTGCAGAGAAAGGGAAGAGAAGTTATGTTTTGTGAAAATGTGTATAAATTTAATTTTAAAATTAGAGCCAATGAGTGAATAAATGGCTGAGACTTTATATAAGAGTTATAATACATATGCAGATGTGTTATACAGAGTCTTATTAACGAGAATTCAAACACAAGAATCACAACATATTCTTCAAACACATGTAAAAAGAGTGCAAAGAATTTGTTGCAATGTTTTGTGTTTGCATTTCAAGCACACAATCGATTGTATTGTTTGTTTCGCTCACTTGTACTCCACTTGTGGTATATATTAGGCGATAATCGCATCAAATGTTTGGCCAAATATTTGCCACCAATTGTTGATCGAAACGAGATGTGAGTTAAGGCCACCGAAAGTAGTGATGGAGACAACGGTTCCGCCGGTGATGTCACCGATGATGACTCCGAGTCACGCCTTAAGTATTGTTCATTCATATCATTTTAGACAAGATTTTACGCTAATTATCGTTAAAATTATATTAATTAAAAATAAATCACAGAATTTGAGCCAAATTTTTGCAAATTCTTGTCTCAAAATTTGATTTTATAACTCATTTAATACACATTTTTGTAATATTTTTTGATTTTACTCAACGTTTTGTATTAAAAACACAGTAATTGTAAAAAGTATTACAAAATGAGATAAATTTCCTCAAAAAACACATCAAAAAGCGATTATTTGTTGAATTTTGTGTCGAGAGAACAGAAACCCATAAAATTGTATTTATTTTTGGTATTTTGTGTTTTGTTTTGCATTTGAGGCCTATTTTTAACATACCTTACGTTTACTTCAGAGGGAGACTGGAGTCCACACAACAGCCCTTCCCTACCCTTCCTAACCATCCCTTTCCTCATTCATTGAAGCCTTGAATGCAATTCTCTTCAAACTTTGCAACAATTTATTACAACATTTTTATAACTTTTCTTTTTATCCAACCATTTGTTACTAATTCTGATGCTCTCATGATTTAAAGTTTTAATCATTACAATAAGAGTTTTAATTATCAATTAAGAGATACATTATAATTATTAAACATTTTAATAATCGATAAACAATATAATTGCAATTTAATTAAAACATAAGAATTGTATTTGAAAATGGCATAGTTGAATTATTCCACAAATATATCATATAAGTGGTGAGTAATTTCATTTACAGCTAATATTCATCACAATAAATATAATACAAAGTTATTAGAAATACAAACGAAAAACTTATGGAAAGAATTGTGAATTATTGAATTATAGAGCACCTAGGGCATCTAGGACAACTTATCTAGGTACTGTATGTCGTATACAGTGTGTGACCAACTTTATAATTTTATATTTTCATATGTAGTTACAGTATTTGTTATGCAAACATTTTGTGTTATATTTAATTAAACGGTGAGATAATAAACTCAATTGATATCACAAATAGTTGTCATAATGACATTAAATTGGATACAATTAATTCATTACAATACCATTCAATTGAATGCAAAGTCAAATGCAATCAAACCAAGTGTTGAAATGAGCCAAAAGGTGTCACACATTGAGTCCTCACATACTTTACGAGTCGTTGAATAGAAAACGTGTTTTCAATGCTTTTCTAAAACTTTGAACACATTTTGCATTCATTTTCAATTCATTCGCTGATGAGATCTGATTGAGATGTGACCACGACTTTTAACTATTATCTTTTTTTTGTCCATTATTTTAACCATCATTTGTACCATTGATACACATCTAATGTCTTACGCATTGATGTGCACAATATGTCCAGCATTTGGATGACATGTTGAATGTCTGATCCGGTGTCGATCCGGAGGTATCTCAAGACAGCACCGAAAATGCCGGAACCGGTAGTCGAGTCCGTTGTCACTCAATCCACGAGTCTTTTGGTTCAAACACTAGATGTTTGCCACTATTTGAATGGTTAGACTGAGGAGAGAAAGACAGGACTCGGGAGTGGACACAGAAGGGAATGAATTGATTGTGTGGTAAGTGTGTGGACACGTGTTATAGCAATTGATGGTATGGTATGGATGTGTTTGTGCAGAACCAGCTCCAAGATTTTGTTAACCATATGAATGTTGGCGTTCTTATATCTGCAAAAGTAAAACCAATGGTTGAATCGCTATGTTTTCCATGCATTAAATGTGTGGTTAAACACGAAATTCAACGACAAATCCATTAATTAATTGCTATTTATTGAGTCTTCAAATCATTTCTTTTCTATTGTCTTACAATTTGGTCTCAATTGAATCATAGGTTCCCGAGAAGAGTGGGCTCTTTGGTTGAGGACAGACACGACCTATAGCTTGATGTATGGCTCGGCTTTGGAAGCGATTGCCGGACATTACTCTTGAGATGAAGAGTAGATTACTATTTAGTATATTTGTGTTGTAATAATTGATATATTTTGTAAACTTGTTAATTATTTTGCAAATTAAATGCATATTTACGGACTATTTAATGTTTATTTGACTAAAAAAATCAATTGTTGTGTACATTGAGACCCAATTTGTGACAGCATTTTATTGATAGCCTTATATTGTGTTCAGATATGTGGAGAAATCGATGACCTTTTCCTACAACCCATCGGATACGACATAAATACTTAATATTATAATAAATCATTATTTTCTCACTTCTTTGACAATATGTGACAAAACAATTGAAATCAATTTGTTTGAGCCATTCATTCATAAATATGATTAAAATTAGGGATTTTTGCTTAAAATAAGAAAAATACCAGAATTTTTGGTCCAGATATGAACTTTTTTTCAATCACAACCCATGCCTTGTGTTTACGGTATTATATCATGTAATTAATTATTTACGAGAATATTCTGTATATTCATAACAATACAATTGAAACACAAAATATCACTTAAATATAATGAATGTTTAAATTATGTAAAAATATATAGCAATGTCTAATTTAAGAGTGACACACATGAATCAAATGGCATAACACAATGCACTTATTTTTATCAATTAAACAGTGTTTTGTTTGATTAATGTCCTGAATCTCAGGTATAACTCATAATTATAATGATATTTGGGTTATTATAATAATTAATAAATAAAACTTTTATTTATAAATCACTTTACATTTCATAACGAATACATTCTTATAATTAAAATTTTCAATTAAAAAATCATCAGAATATCTAAATTTTAGATTTAATTTCAAAATGTTTAGGAATTATATCAAATTAAAAACTAATTACAAATAGAATTAATATTAAAATTGTTATAAAATGTCTAATTTCGGGCAAAAACTACATAAACGTAAGCAATGGTGAGAAGAAAGACAGTGTTAAAGACATTCACTTCATGCCAATAGAAACACAGGAATATAAGCTGAAAGACCAATATATCCATTACATCAGTGTATAAATTGTTGATTAAATTTGAGGTCAATTTGTTTCGCTGTTGAACTCGTCGGAGGAAATTGGTTGCGATCCAGAGGCTCATCGAAACGATGGCAAACCTCATGAGACCCAATGAAGCCATCGACAGGACCAGCGCCTGTGCCTCGTCGTCAAACTCGACTTCAGTTACGATCGCATTGCGGTTGTATATCATGTAAACGACACCCTCGGCCTCAATCAGCCAGATATAGGCGCCGAGCCGTGCGTTGAAGCGCCAGAAGGGACTGTCGGCGCCGAACAGATCCATGTCTGTGAGCGGTATGAGTGCCGCAGAATAGAAGACCAGTAGAAAGTAATACACGAAGAAATACCAGTTGTCGTACAGACAGAAGGGCGTCATTTCGCCCAATAGTTTCACGTATAGCACGAGTGCCAGACTCGACAGACTTAGTAATATCATGTAAGCGCAGATCACTTGCCACGGATTCAATGGCATACAAGCCATCAATCCATTCGTTAGTTTAGACAGTAGTGACACTCTCTTCCTCTCGNTCTCCCCATTGCTTTCATTGATTGTTTTACATAAGAGTGAGCATTGATTTAATTCAAACTAATTTATATTATTGTCGACCATTAAAGTTATCAATGAAATAAAATTGAACTTCAATTCAATTGATGCCAAAACAGGTGGACATTTAAATGTGGATCAATTGAAGTGTTGTCCACTATAATGGTCTTTCATTCATGAATTTTGTGAATATAACTGATATATTGTTAACAAAATACTCAATACTTGAATAAAACATAATAAAAATAGACTTGAATTTAGAAATACTTTAAATTCAATTCATACATAAATAAATTGTATAAAATTTTTTGTGCCTTAAAGTAATATATGATTATATGAATGACCAAAATTAATCAATAAGTTATATATTTTATTAAAAGTATAATAACTTTGAATTAAATTATAAATCGAGATATAAGTTATAATTGTAAGACATTAAGATATACATTTATCAAGTTTATTTTACTGTGTAAAACAACCGATTACATTGATAACAAATGTCTTATAAAACTATTTTTAATAAAATATCTAATAATACTCCACAAATCAATATTTTAATCAATTTAACTCAATTTATATCAAAAATATTCACAAATATTTGGATGATATTCACAAATAAACAATATATTTCATAATTGTTGCCGAAACTGAAATTTTATATTCAAAACTTTACATGACATGACATAAGACTTAAAAAGCATAGAAATAAAAATGGAAAACTGTAAACCACTCTACACTGAGAGTCCCGATTATAGTTTGGATCCATTCCTCACTTGTTGTCCAAAAATCATTGACCAAAATGTTTGTCGATATAGAGATCAACGGCCAAAATGTGAGCCAAAACGACGATTACTGTCCGCTGATTGAGATCGAGAGGAAGAGAGTGTCACTACTGTCTAAACTAACGAATGGATTGATGGCTTGTATGCCATTGAATCCGTGGCAAGTGATCTGCGCTTACATGATATTACTAAGTCTGTCGAGTCTGGCACTCGTGCTATACGTGAAACTATTGGGCGAAATGACGCCCTTCTGTCTGTACGACAACTGGTATTTCTTCGTGTATTACTTTCTACTGGTCTTCTATTCTGCGGCACTCATACCGCTCACAGACATGGATCTGTTCGGCGCCGACAGTCCCTTCTGGCGCTTCAACGCACGGCTCGGCGCCTATATCTGGCTGATTGAGGCCGAGGGTGTCGTTTACATGATATACAACCGCAATGCGATCGTAACTGAAGTCGAGTTTGACGACGAGGCACAGGCGCTGGTCCTGTCGATGGCTTCATTGGGTCTCATGAGGTTTGCCATCGTTTCGATGAGCCTCTGGATCGCAACCAATTTCCTCCGACGAGTTCAACAGCGAAACAAATTGACCTCAAATTTAATCAACAATTTATACACTGATGTAATGGATATATTGGTCTTTCAGCTTATATTCCTGTGTTTCTATTGGCATGAAGTGAATGTCTTTAACACTGTCTTTCTTCTCACCATTGCTTACGTTTATGTAGTTTTTGCCCGAAATTAGACATTTTATAACAATTTTAATATTAATTCTATTTGTAATTAGTTTTTAATTTGATATAATTCCTAAACATTTTGAAATTAAATCTAAAATTTAGATATTCTGATGATTTTTTAATTGAAAATTTTAATTATAAGAATGTATTCGTTATGAAATGTAAAGTGATTTATAAATAAAAGTTTTATTTATTAATTATTATAATAACCCAAATATCATTATAATTATGAGTTATACCTGAGATTCAGGACATTAATCAAACAAAACACTGTTTAATTGATAAAAATAAGTGCATTGTGTTATGCCATTTGATTCATGTGTGTCACTCTTAAATTAGACATTGCTATATATTTTTACATAATTTAAACATTCATTATATTTAAGTGATATTTTGTGTTTCAATTGTATT